GTGGAGAAAGATCACTTCAAACTCCAGTAAGATGGGGGACTTTCAGTATCACACATAAGTAAAAGTATGTGGAGGACCAAACTGATGCTATTGGCAGGGACAGAATTAAATCTACGAAAAACTGAGCTAACAGACTTGAAAGGACTTTAAGATTTAGTAGTAGACACAAATATCACCTCYGATCAAAGAAATTATACAACAGATGCAAAATCATGAGACACTTTACAAATTACAGTACAAATTCTTGAGAGATCCAAATACCTCTGTAGAGAAACTGAATCACCTACTAAATGGTACTTTAGCATCAAAGATATAAAAAAACTCAACAGCTGAAAATCCATGCTACGCCAGAGCAAATTAGAAACATGACTTCCTTATGAAGAGACAATCAACCATGCCAGATACTAAAGGTAGCTTCCAAGAATAACTGCAAACATTTCACATCCTCATGTCTGCACTTTAAACTGCCTTTAATACAGAAGATACATTTAGTCAAGTATCTCTGAAAGACACACTTTTACCAAATGTAGGTTACTGCTCTCAGATAACTAACTCAATACAACTAATACACGAATCAGACTAGATTGTCCGAAGATCCCTTACGTTACTGAAGTCTGCTATGTCAGTTTGTCTGAATCCATGACAACAGACCAACCTTTAAGCACAGATTTTTTTTTTAACCAGCCACAGCCTGGTACAAAATAAGAAGGCAAATACTWCCCTTGTTAAATCAGTAAGTTCTTTCACATCTACAAGCTCCTCTAAGATCAAATACTTGGGCACTACTCCTCCCAATACTTAAATCAGAAGAGACAGCAGAATCAGGTTTGTTTATAAATTAAACAGTGTCATCAACAATGAAAAAATTGCAAGAATTTTCTTAGCATTGATGCAATAAACACCATTTAAGAATTTTAACTAGGACTGCAACCCTCAGAGATTCAAGCAAAAACTGTTATGTACTTGATTTTTATTTCAAGTTTCCCTGCRCTCATTTTGTCAAATGCTCCCAATATATGAACACTGGCATAGAAGCATACCCTGAGATAAGCCAAACTGAGCAAAAATTAACTTCATGTGATTATTTAAAACAGGGACACTGCAGATTCATTTTTATCTTTTCATCAGCCATATAATGCATTGAAGCTTCAGTCTTTACACTCTTGGTTGCCAGCTTTTCGGCTTCTATCCAGGACAAGGCAGACACGCTCAAATTCAGGACACTACAAGGCAAGAGAAGGATGAGGAGGAAAAGAAAGTGGGAACCTCAGGGCAACTAGGAAGAGTAAGAGCCTAAGCTTCTTCACAGCTGCCTCGGAGTTCTGACAGAGTTAAGAATCCCTCTTAGCAGCAGCAAAGTGAATTGCCCACCCACCACACATTATAACTAACAATAGAAAAAAGGTCCCATCTATTTTGATGGACATACCACTGTGAGCCAAGAAAACTGAGCAGCACAAAATCAGTCTGTTCTGCTCTGTCAGCACTTGAGATAAACACCCACTCAGGAAGAGTGTCTTGAAACCTGAGGAGGATATGCATACTTGACCTGTAACACATGCACAGTCTCTGGGTACTTAAAGACCATATTTATGTAAGGGTATTTTACCAGTCATATCCTTTCAATGAACAATTCTTGTCATTACTATTCCAAAGCATCCCAACAACCAGTCTACAATGAAATCRGAAATTCCTGCAGTACTTCTGTGCATGGGCAATTTGGAATGGGCGGAGTGATGCATTCACTCAGAAATTTCCTTCAGCTGAAGATGTATTTGTTATTATACATTTCTGGGGGGTTTAGRCACATGAGAAGAATGAGATGAATAAAGAGCTAGAACAGCTCATATGAAATACTGAGGAAGAGGAAAAACAATGGGTTTTTTTTTTTCCTGCATAATTGGAATTTGAAATGAAAACTCCATATCAAAATTTTACATTACCTTGAACTTTAAAAACTGGAAAAAATAGGTAGTCTGAAGAGAAATTTTTCATATTGGGCTGATTTTTTTTAACCTTAAATATCAGCATTTAGTCAAGTTAGATAACATTTCGAAATCCCTCAAACCCAAGCCATTCTCACATCCCAGGAATACGCCTCAGAGGATGGTGCGAGTCTTATGTTAAGTTCTACAATTCTCTTACACATSAGAATGAAAAAGTACACAGCTGGATAACGCACACACATACCAAAGTATCCTTCTTAATATCAGCTTGATTCCTCTTTTGCACCACTTAAGAGTTCCTTGTTCTGTGTTTTGGATTGTAATATTTAGGGAGCTATGCCCATGTTTTTGTTCCATTATGCTGGACATAACAAATTAGTTAAGCTGACCACAGTTCCCAGACATTATGGCAATACAAAGAGCAAGCAAAATACTTCCTTTCAACTAACTGGAAGAAGCTTCTAGAAGCACTTATGTCCACAGTAGTCATGCCAGTGTATCAGAGAAACAGTAGGTGTAGAAATTATATACCTGCATTTAATTTTCGCTATGTGCAACATAAAAATGTTTGTCAGGGGGAGACAAAAACAAACTTYGTTGCTTGCTGAAGAGACCCCATTCCATTTATGCAAGCCTGAAAACAGCATGCATGTACAAATAAAAAGGACATGACATCACTGAGTGACTGACTATCCACAGAATGACTGTTCTTGTTGTAATATATGAAATATACACGATAATATATAAACATAGAGAGAGGCTTGTGAGTATGGTCACATCCTCACACTGGAGACTTACATAATCAAAGTGTGTAAAGTGAAAAAAGTATGTGGTATAATTTGTATTTTAGTTTATAATCTGAACACAAATCATCAAGGTTAAACATTGTATGGCTTATTCTCTGAAGCACTATGAGATACAGTGAATACAATTAATTGCTTCTAACTACAATGAGAACACACTTAACATAATTTGACATAATTGACTGCCTCCCTCCTTAAAAGAGCCCTTTTTTTCAAATTAGGCTCAAGATACAAGAAGCAAAACTAGCTTTTATCAAACAGCTGCCTCCAGAAAGTAACTGGAATGAATATATCTACAAAAATTAAGTAAAAAGAGATTGTTTTTCACCAGTCAAGCCACAGATAAAATCTGATAGAGAAACAACTAGTAGCTGGATGCATTTTTCCATTTATAAATATCTTTTCTTAGATTTACAAGGATCAAGTGCAAGCACTGCAGGAGATTCCTATGTGAACTTTATCTGCAATTTAATCCTTGAACGGCATGCTGTATAAGCATTACACTGTACTATAATTTAATACAGGACATACACTTCAGCAGTTACAAATGATGGACTATTTAAAAGCATGTAACTGTGACCCAGAGATGTACAAAGGCATTCAAAACAGCATCTTATTTTGGATTGGGGAGATTAAATGCTGAGTTTGGGTAGGGTCTCTAAAAACATAAAGAAGTGGTTTTTCACTAAAGGATTAAAAAATGGCCATTACCATTTTAAAAATACGTTGTATAGGTTTAATAAACAGTGATGCTATTTTAAGCCTGAGACTATGAAAGTGTATAGGTATCTCTTTGGTTTTCCCCGAAATTTTCACAGCACTAGAGGAAAAAAAACCCAAACCTTAATGTTTTATTATCATGCTAATTCTTTCCAATCCTCTAAAGCACGCTATTTAATGATGCTAGTTGAGAAAACAGTGGGAAGGCTCAGTAAAAGACAGTCTCACATCATGTGTTTCATTTCAGGCTGGGGCTTGGGTTTGCTCCTCCTTTCCTTTTCAAATAAACATGAGCAGTTATGCAACCCTCTGAAAAATCTGAAAAAATCTGCCCCTCCCAAACCTGCCCATGTAAACCCTGAAAAACATAAAGAGGGAAATTGTTTGTCAGCAGCATCTTCTGCATGAATCGAARATGTCATGCTTTTCACATGTGTGTTCAGCATATTGTAGCATACACCCAACTTCCCCCTGGAATAATTTCGCCAAGGTACAGAAGCTTTTACCCAGGGCTGGAGAAATACTTGCAATCGCTGGTAATGCGGCAGAAGAAGGGGCGGGGGGTGCACARGCAGGAGCTGCATTTATTTCCTAACGTTCTAGCCGGGGTAACAGATTCATTCACAGGATTTTGTCTCGTCCTTGTTTTCCACCCCTGAGTGCTTGACTGTATACCAGCGGGTGTTACCCCGCAGTCGCTAAATAGTCTCCCACACCCACACCTGATGCTGGTTTTGTAGAGGACGCAATACAGGAAGGGGAAGAGGAAAAAAAAAAAAAAAAAAAAAAAAAAAAAAAGGCAAATCTCCTCTCCCCATCGGTCTCCATAAAAGGGGACCGCTGCCTCTACACGGGCGTGAAAAGCAGCAGCAGCCGCCGAAGCTTTGTTGTTCACTGCGGAGCATTTGGTCGTGCGCGCAAGGTGGCTCCTTCCCGGCTACTCCAGGAGACGCCCGCGCGGGCAGAGCGGGGCTCGCCAGCAGCCCACAGCCACATTCCAGCATCGCCCGGCATGGATCTGCTGCCGCCGGGAGCCGGGAAGCCGCCCCGGGTCCCACGCGGGCTTCGGCCGCGCGACCCTCCCCGATGGCGGCCGGGGGATGCGTTTGTGGAGCCGTCCTCAAGGCAGGCGAAGGCGCGCAGCTCTGCGCTGAGGCGCGCTCCCCTTGCCCGCGATTCCCGGGAGGAGCGGAGGAAGCGTAGCAGATGGGGGGGACAGCACAGAGGTGAATCCCAAGGAAGGATGCGGAGCCGCCGCCCGCAGCCCCCCGCGGGCGTTACATAACGGCGGCAGCGGCCGCGCCGGACTGGGCTCGGGCGCCCCTCCCGTGAGGACGGGCATCGGGAGGGGGCACTGAGGCTGCGAGACCCCCGGCAGCTCCGCCAGCATCCCCTCCCCTCGCGCCTTCGATAACCGAGCAGCGATCGATTAGCGGTGCGATGGGAAGGAGGGAGCGGGCACAGCACACAGCACGCACCCCACCCACCCCGGGGAGCGGTGATCGCCCGGCCCGTCCCGGGAGCCACTCACCGGCAGTGGTGGATGGTGGCAGGTCCGGTCGGCGCTGGCCGGGTCTGTCCGGCGCGCTCGAGAGCAGCCGCGGGTGTCCGCAACCGGCGCGGCCGTTGCAGCGGCGCCGCCCCCCCCGCGCGGGCATTGGCGAGCGCGCGGCGCCGCCCGCCCGCCGCGAGCGCCCATAGGCGGCGCGCGCCGTCCGGCCGGGGCCGCGTCCGCCCCCCGCGCGCGGGCTGAGGGGCCGCGGGACGGCCGCCGCTGCCGCCTTAAATGGGCCGCGGGTGCGGCCGCGCTCCGCCGGCCCCATTTCCCCCGTTATTCCCGTTATTCCCGCTCGCCCCGACGCGCGGCGGCAGGTGCGCCGCGACAGGTGGAGCCTCGTCCGGCTCGCGCATCCTGTGCTTCCCATTCCTCTTACACCGAGGCGTATCGATGTCCTATGTGTCTCGCCGCGCTCGGGCAGTTTTGGGTCCGGGTGGCCGCTCGGCTGTGCTTGAAGTTGGGGTTGTCGACATAAACTAAAACCATGTGAAAGACTGGGCTGTGTGGTGCAGCGGGAATTCCGTAATAGCGTCACTTTCCCTCAGCTTGTCTCCTGCCTGGGAGCAGCCTGAGGTCGGCACAGAGGAGAGGCGTAGCCACCAACCTAGTTTGGAGCGATCCTATCCAAAATCTTGGAGCGCAGACACAGTTCAGGAGCCAGCAGCAGCCTAATGAGCAGTCGTGCACCTTCATTTGTGAATTTATAACCAGAGTCCAATGACCACACGGAGCTSGGTGGACTGTAACTTCATTGCCAAGGTGCTGGAATGAGGTTAAAACTGTCTACCTGTAGACGTGAGGGAGGAGAGCAAAATGTTAATGTGCAATGGATTCTCAATTTTTCAAACGCAGGAGATCTATATGGCTAATTTTTTAATTGGTCATATACCTATACTTGCCTCAGGATGCACAATAGTTCATCAACTATTATGAAATTAGCTTTTAAACTCTGATTTCAGTGATTTAAGGCAGTTGTTAAAATGACCCAGAATGCCATAAAGGGGCTTTAAATGACCCTTCACATTAGGGCTGARTGGCTGTACTACGAATGAAGGTTTTGTGGCAGTGTACAGCAAATGCAGTTTTCATCTCTCACAAGAGCACAAACCAGAGTAATCCGCAAATACTTCCACATGCTTCTCCATAGGACTGCTCAAAATCCCTTCATTCTCCAGCCTGTATCGGTACTCAGTAGCGAAACTAATTGTATTCTTGGTAGGAATAGAGACGCAAACTCATTTCTGCAACACATACATGTGTACACGCACGTGGGCAGCTACACAGATCAATAGAGCCAGAAACACTCAGTGCTCACACAAACACAAACAGCACCATTGGCCTCATCTTGTTGCCCTTTGGCTAACCAGGATGAAAGTCCATTAGTAGGAAATATATGCATATGTGTAATGTGGATTCCTCCAGTAGCTGACCTTAGCTACTCAGTCTGTGCCTGGATCACAATGTGCCCCACTGCTCTACTCTGGGTGTATGAACTCCTAAGACTTGCAATCCCACTGTAGCTGTTTTCCGTATGTCACCCACCGACACACACCATGGATTTGGTGATACCTGGATCCCCAATCTTCTTGGCTGCTCTACCCTTACAAATGAAGCCCACTCCCAGGGCTAGTACAGACCTCCTCATTCACATGTACCAGGGCTCTCTCAGTAGTCGAACACACAGTCCATCCAGTAACTGGCTGTGGATCCCAGGTCTCCCCAGCTCCTGGCACGTGAACACACTATTCTGCAGACCCCACAGTCCCACTCCAGCTACTGGTACAGATTCCCTTGCACACAGCAGCACATAAACACGCACACTGTGGATCTTGMCTGGGCACACACCACCTGTCTAAATATCTTAGACAGGCCCTCCTTCCAGCCGGGATCGCTGTTGTCCCAGCTCTCTCCCATGCAGATACACAGACACACATGCAGTCTCTCAGCTGACCTTCAGATTTTTACATCAGTTGGTATAGACTTCTTGGTCCCTTTGGAAGMTGGCTTCTCCAATTGCCTTACTCTGAGAGATATACTTGCTTTCCAAGCTTCTTAATCTCTTTTCCACCTAGTTTAGCTTGATACATACACTCTCACTTGGTCCAGTTGCTCACACCACAGAGACATATAACCCTTGATCTGCACTGCAGTTGTTGATATTTGTTTTTACTCATTCCAGTCTCTTCAGTTGATGATTCTGCTGATTTTCAAGCCCTATAAACCCTTGCCTGATTTCAGTTGCTGACACTGAGACATCCATACAATCATATGTATGCAGAACAGAGTCCACTGATTCAGGATATTGGTTTAGAAATGGAATTTAGGAAGAAGGCAGGACAGCAGGTACTGATCAGGTGTGAGTMATGGCCAGACGAGCATACTACCCAGCAACCTGTTTACACATGGGCAGCAGCTTTTGTCCTCTTAGTTCTCTATGACCTAACCTGTTTCTCTCCAAGCCAAGATGAGCCCTCCCTTCCCTGCTTTTGGTTKTGTCCCCAACACCTGCCAAAAGAAGTCTTGTGCAATCCCAAGACTCGCTGAATGTCAGGGAGGTTTGAAGTTGATACCTGGAAATATTTTTTTTTTTACCAAAAGGATGATCATACCCTGGAACAGGTCTTCTGTAGAGGTTGTCAGTGCCCCATGCCTGTCAGTGTGTGAGGCATTAGGACAATGTACTTAATAACGTGCTTTAACTTTTGACCATCTCTGTAGTGATCAGACAGTTGGACTTGAAGAACATTCTATTCTATTCTATTCTATTCTATTCTATTCTATTCTATTCTATTCTATTCTATGCTATGCTATGCTATGCTATGCTATGCTATGCTATGCTATGCTGTGCTATCCTATCCTATCCTAATCCTATCCTATCCTATCCTATCCTATCCTATCCTATCCTATCCTATCCTATCCTATCCTATCCTATCCTATCCTATCCTATCCTACCCTATCCTATCCTATCCTATTCCCCTGCATCCCACAGCGTGTGTTATACCCTCTAGACAGTAGCCCTGACTTCAACTGTTAAGTTTGTCTGGAGAACCCTTCCAGACTTGTCTGGTGTGTGTCAGACCTGGATGATGAGCACCAGTTCTCTTTTGTGACAGTCCTGAGACTGGGGTAGGAAATCTTTTTTTCTGAGTTCCCTATAAGGGTGAAGGTTCCCCTGCTTGATATTGTTGTTCTGTGCTACACTTAGAGCACGGAGATRAGCTTTTTATCAAATAACCTAACAAGATTTAATTTCTGGTCACACTTTGAAGATTCTGTGTTCTCCAGTAGATGGGGTTTTAGAGATTTAATTTAGCAATTTAACTGAATTTATAATTTAGTTCCTAGTGCTGAAGTCATCACATTGAAAATGTGGCATCATGAAATTTTGGCAAAGAMAAATGAGTCACAAAAATAAATCAGTGATACCTCAGGGCTGCCAGCCTAATCCACATTGGTCTCCTTTCTACCCTTCAGTTCCCAGTCTACCAGGAACCTCCCTCTCCAGTGGCCACGAGAGGGCTAAAATGTTGGTTCCCTTATTTCATTTTTTCAACGGGTGTTTGTTGTTCAAGATGCTTGTCTTTTACACATCCCAAACTAATTGTTAGCGAAGTCTAATATAAAATCACAAAAGCTCATTTTTTGGTTATCTGTATTTGGGTTATGTGACAAGGTTTTGGCAGCAAGCAGGCTACAAGGGTGGTTTCCATGAGAAGATACCAGAAGCTGCCCCCATGTAAGAGTCAGCTCCAGCTGTCTCTGACAGATCCGCTGCTGGCCAAAGCTGAGCCTGCTGGCTGGAGATAGTGATAGTGTATTTAACAAGGGGGGAAAAATGCTGCACAACAGCAGCAGATGGCCAAGAGAATGGTACAGACAACTATTCAGGCCCCAAGGTCTGCAGTGGAAGAAGGAGGGGGAGGAGGTGCTCCAGGCACCAGAGGACAGATTTGCCTGCAGCCTGGGATGCAATTCATGGTGAGGCAGCTGTGCTCCTGCAGCCCATGGAGCAGCCTGAGGAGCGCCCTATGTCCAAGCAGGTGAATGCTCCCTGAAGGAACCTGTGAACTGAGGAAAAAAAGGCTCATGGAGGAGCTGGCCTCTGACAGGACCTGTGACACCATGGAGAGGAACCAATGATGAAGCAGGTTTTCAGGCAGGTCCTGTGATCCCATCTGAGGACTCCCACTGGAGCAGTCTGTTCCTGAAGGACTGCACCCCATGGAAAAACCACACTGGGGCAGTTCATGAAGAACTACAGCCCATGGAAAGGACCTGTGTTGTAGAATTTTGTGAAAGACTGTGTCCCATGGGAAACACCTCATGCTGGAGAAAGAGTATGAGGAAGAAGGAGTGGCAGAGCCAAAGCATTATGTCCTGAACCTTTATTGCCCATCCCCCTGCACTGTTCAGGAGGAGCAGATAAAGAAGAATGAAGTGGAACCTTGGAAGGAAGGACCAGGGGGAGGAATGTGTTTTGAGATTTTATTTTTTTATTTCATATAATCCTACACTCTCTTAATAAAGCAAGGTAACTTTGGATTCATCTTAATCCTGAATGGAAATTAACTTCTTCCACATTTTAAAGCAAATTTAGCAGTTCCACTTTGTCTGAATTTATTTTCATTTTTAGCTCAAGAATGCTGTCATTGGGTCCTATGTGAGCCTTGGACATTTTTCAAAAAATGAAATAATGTGAATGCCAACATGTATGTTGTGGATTTCTACAGCACTCAATACACTCATGTTATACAATACAATTACWCTGTTATGATTAATTCTTGAAAGTTCCCAGACACTCTCATCCTTGCACAAAAAAAATGATTTTTCTCAGTTCAGAAAAGAATCTATTCAGTCATACACTGATGAGTAGTGCTCACAGTAGTGCTCTGCCACAGAACAGGGCCTTGCAGAAAATCCACAGAATAGTCCAACCCTTGATTATCTCAGTCTACTCTGGAAGTCTACACTCTCGCAAGAGACAAGACCCTTGACCACAAACTTGAGATCTCACTATCTTAGCCTAAGATTAGCTGCATTTCCCCAG